GCATATACAATAAAAATGAGGGTAGCTGTTGTAGTTTGGGGAGGCTGCCCAATAAATAACACCCCCTCTATCCTCACCTCAATTTCAAACCAACAAAGAGAAAATGGGAAAGGCAGGTAGGTGGAGAACAGATTGTCAGCTACATAACTGATGGAGCTTTTGGAGGATATAGCTGGGTGTGAGACACCGGGTGGCCTGCCAACTCCATACTACCCAACCCCCAAGTTTAATGCTTGTCTCTTATAAGCCTCATGTAAAACAATACCAAAAAAGAGTGTGTACATAGTTAACAGGACATCAAAGATTACCATAACATTGGCCTCCACAGCCACAATATTTAGAAGACAAGCCAGTCCCCAGCCCCTAGCAGTATCTCATGCAAAACATCCCAGATACAAACACCATGGTGAGAACAGTGTATCTGAGGGAAGGTGAGTGGGTGAGAAAACATTGATTCAAGGTTTCATGGACTTTCCATTTATTTCTCTCGTTTAATTTCTTTGGACTTAATTTTATGCCATTTTTCATTATCTCTAACCTGTGAATCTAACTCACTTGGGAGTTTTTCTCCCAATCTGTGGGTTGACTTTGTCACTTTCTTGATAGTGTCCTTTGATGTACACAAGTTTGAAATTTCGAGGAAGTCTAACTTACCTTTTTTTCTCGTATTTCCTGTGCTTTTGGTGTCATATTTAAGGAATTATTCTAAATTCAAAGTCATGAAGATTTTCTCATATATTTTCTTCTAAGAGTTTTATAGTTTTAGTTAAGTTTAGTTCTTTGATCTTTTTTTGTTTGTTTGTTTTTTTGAGACACAATCTCACTCTGTTTCCCTGGGTAGAGTACCATGGCATCATCATAGCTCACTACAGTTGCAGACTCTTGGGCTCAAGCAATCCTCTTGCCTCAGCCTCCTCAGTAGCTGGAACTACAGGTGCTTTCAACTGCACCCAGCTAATTTTTCTGTTTTTGGTAGAGACAGGGTCTCATTCTTGCTCAGGCTGGTCTTGAACTCCTGACCTCAAGTGATCCTCCCACCTTGGCCTCCCAGAGTGCTAGGATTACACGTGTGAACCACTGCACCTGGCCCTTCGATCTGTGTTGGGTTAACATTTTTATATGGTGTGAGGTAAGGATCCCTCTTCATTCTTGTAGACGTGGATATCCAGTTTTCGGAGCACCATTTGTTAAAGAGACTCTCCTTTCCCCCATTGAATGATCTTGGCACCCTTGTCAAAAATCAGTTGTCCCTATATGGGAGGATTCATTTCTGGGCTCTGTATTCCATTGGTCTTTATGTCTTTCCTTAGGCCAGGACCACACTGTTTTGATTCCTGTAGCTTTGTACGAAGTTTTTAAATCAGGAAGCATGAGTCTTCCAACTTTGTTCTTTTTCAAAAATTTTTTGGGCTGCATGGGGTCCCTTGACACTCCATATGAATTTTTACAATATGTTTTTCTATTTCAATCAAAAAAAGCAATTGGGATTTTGATAGGGATTGCATTGAATCTGTAGATTGCTTTGGGTGGTTATCTATCTAACAATATTAAGTCTTCAAATTCATGGATACAGATGTCTTTCCATGTATTTGCCTTGTTTAATTTCTTTCAGCAAAATTTTGTAGTTGCCAGTGCTCAAGTCTTATGCCTCCTCAGTTAAATTTATTACTAAGTGTTTTATTCTTTTTTTATGCTATCATAAAAGGAATTATTTAATTTCCTTTTCATATTGTTCATTGCTAGTATATAGAAATGCAACTGATTTTTGTGTGCTGACTTTATATCCTGCAGCATTGTAACAGGTTTTTTTTTGGATTCTTTAATTTTACTTCTTCCTTTTCAGTTTGAGTGACTTTTATTTCCTTTTCTCACATGGGGGCTTTGGCTAGAATTTACAGTACAAGGTCGGATAGCGGTGGTAAAAGCAGGCATCCTTGCTTTGTTCCTGATCTTAGGGGGAACACTTTTAAGCTTTGACCATTGAGAATGATGTTAGCTGTGGGGTTTTCATATATGGCCATTATCCTGTTATGGAGGTTCCCTTCTCTCCTAGTTTATTGAGTGTTTTCATCATGAAATGATGTGGAATTTTTCAGATGCTTTTTCTGTATCTTATGAGATGATCATGTGATTTTATTCTTCATTCTATTAATATGATGTATTAGGTTGATTGACTTTCTTGAGTTGAACCAACTTTGTATTCTGAGGACAAATCTCCCTTGTTCATGGTATATAATCCTTTGAATATGCTGCTGAATTTCATTTGCTAGTATTTTGTTGAGGAGTTTAACTTATATTTTGTAAGGGATGTTGTCCTGTAGTTTTCTTTCCTTGTGGAGTCATTATCTGGCTTTGGATCAGGGTAATGTTTGTTTCATAGAAAGAATTAGGAAGT